TTAAGATGCATGAGTGTAATTTTATATTTCTAAATTTTGCGGGGAATTTCCAAACTTAAAACCCTCAGACAAACTGACACGTGCAGCAATCAATATTAACAGAACAATGTGTGAGTGAGGATTTATTTTCATCATTTTTAAATTACAAATAAAAGAGGACAGACATGGAATGGATAAATCCAAACACTGGTGACGCACATTCAAAAACAATATCAACTGACATTCTGGGCAACACAGAATTTGTTTCAGGAACGCAGTTTTGAATCCATGTCATTGATCCATATTCCATCTCTGCTGCCAACACTTTCCATACTTTTACTGTCAATATAACAGAGCCATACACAATATGGCCACAGGTGACGTCCGTTCATCACTGATCAGATATGAGGGTGAGTTGTGAACAGGAAAGTGAAAAATAATGTCCATAATAAATCCAACGCTGAAGTGGGTCACATGGTCTTGAAGAGGAGGAGGGATTGGCTGTGTGGAGATGCTCCTCAGCCCCACAGCAAACTAGAAAAGAAGGAAAGAACAAAAACGATTCAAGTAAAAACCTAAGAGGTTCCTGGACAGGTTACACTGCTAAGAAAACGTATTACCTGAAGACTGTGGGTTCAGGCATTCCTGGATCTGCTCCACGTTTGAAACCTGCAAGTCAAAATTAATAAGAAAAATATAAGGATACTGTGATCATTGTGTACACAGTGAAAACAGTCTACTCATCTCAGAATGACTCATTATAGAAGATACACTGGTTTGGAGCAAAAATACACACGTACAATATGTCAAGGACAACAGTAAAATTACGTAAAATGATTAAATTTCTGAAATACATGTGCGCAAATATTTCCTTCACAAGTAGGTGTGTGTTTTCCACTGTGAGTCATTACAGTTAAACAGCAGTTTGACCCTTGATACCCCCCCCGGTTTTATCAAAGAGCAAAATTGCATCATACTGCTCAAACCTTGTGAAATCCTTCCTGCTGATCTCATTGTGTGAAATAAGTTGCAGCTGAAATGTCATGAGCAGCACATCCGACACACACACACACACACACCCCCCCCCCCTCTGATTTAACCATGATGCAACCGATTCTTAAGAAAAAGATGTGAGAGAAATGCCAGAAAATCAAGACAAATAAAGAAACCCGACAGGGTTCACTTGAGATAAAATGTAAAAACATCCCAATCCTCACAGTAGAAAAACTGAAAACTAATGAGTGATGTTTTTGATGAATTAATCTGAAAGCTCAGTTCAACTGACCAGTTGCTGCAGTGCTATTTCACACATACTCTTCATTAGGTGAATGCAATATCATTATTATTGTTATTTGGATGGTGTTAACACATGGGCAACACACGCTGAATCAAAGAAAAATCTGCCAAGTTGAAAAGTGCAATGAAAAAAGGGAAAAGGGAAAGAAAGTGACGTTAGCGCTGGTATTTCCGCGATGCTGAAGTCAGAGAAGGTTTCTCTCAATCTGTGACTCCACTGGCTGAGCTCACACTGGCAGAGGTTTCAACTTCCCCATCAGTCACTCAAACCACAACCTGCAAACTCTGTGCCCCAGACATGTGGCATCCAGAGCCCGAAGAAACTATTGGTTGGAGTCAGACGATAAAAAAATCAGCCGATGTGAGCATTTCACAGACACATCGGTGTTGGCATTTATATTTGCGGGTATGAAAACTTTAATTTTAAAGAATAAACAACACATACAATATAAGGTTTATATTTTTTGAATATTAAGCATAAATATTTTTGTATTTTTAATCCAAGTTCTATATTTTTTTACTCCCTAATATTAGAATTATCATATTCTCGTATTAATACAATGATTTAGTTTTACCCTAATATTAATACGATTTTTAAACTCCCTAAAATTACTGTCAGATTTTACCCTTAAATCTTAGTAGCAGAATTTACTCCCAAATAGCAATAACGGATTTTTCCTCCCTAATATTAGAAGAATACTCTTTAAAAATCTTAGTCCCTGATATCAGTATAGAATCTTTTCACTCTGATATCATGAGCCCCACATCAGTCTTAATGACATGCACACAGGCAGAGGAGCGGACTGAAGGCAAAGATCCAGGACTTATTCAAGGTCATCAACACTTTTACAAGACTGAGCACAAAACTGAGCGAAGTCCTGGATCTACTACTGAACTAACATAAAAACCCACTGCTGATCATCACCAGTGGAGGAGGAGTCATTGATTTCTACACACCCAGGGAAATACAGTGAATGGCGTCCATCTGAGCAGCTTTTCATCTTCATCATCATCATCATCATCACTGCAGTACTTTAACGGGGGGGTGATGGACTATTAAAACTAAAGAGTCAGAAATGCACTAATAAACACATGCTAATGAAAATGGAATCAATGCTAACACAGCATCTAGCACCAAACACCCACAGATTATCAGTAGATACTGTAGCAGGCTACTAGCATGGCTGTATGGCTAACAGGCTAAGGAAGCCGGGGCTAACGTTAGCGAGGCACGTCTCGTCAGCCCGCCGTCTCCCCGCGGCTGATGTTCGGATACTGACCGAGGTAGAGCACGGTGGGGATGAAGCCCCATCGGATGACGAACTGGCCGCACTGGAAGAGCTGCTGCAGCCGCTGTTTGGTCTCTTTGCTCATTTTCGCCATGTGTGTTTATCTCTGACTGCGAGGACGGCAAGGACGAGCAGCAGCAGGAAGTGACGTCGGAGAGAACGTGCTTGCTCTGTCAGCTGTTCCGCCCGTAGGTCGCCATCTTGTGGAGAGACGTGAAACTGCGAGTGGTACCACAGGTATAGAAAATAATAAAAAATAAACCCAAGTCATCTCTTTTAAGAAATTAAATTGTAAACTGGTTAAATTGAAGACCCACATGTTTTATCAGGCTTTTAACTTCACTTTATTTTATTTATATCACCTTTTAGCATTTTATTTTGTTTTATTTGTACTGTTTTTATTTCTTCTACAGCACACTGGTAAACTCGTATTGTTTTGTGCTTCTTCAATAAAGTCGACTTGTCATGGAAGTTTTAATATAAAAAATAAAAATGCAGCTTGTAATAATAATTTTTGTAATGATTGAGTATATTTGCAGTATAACAACTGTGTCAGTGATGTGAAAATCTAAGCCACTGAGCAAGTAATTTACACGAGGAACAATAGGTATTATTGTAGTGGTAGACAGTAGATATTTCAGTATAGGGTCTCTGGACCTATAATGATGTCTGTTTCACTTATTGGTAAAAGTTGAATAAGGAGTTTATTCAACTTGAAGCAGGATCCTGAAGTTTTTTTGCATATCTAATGTTTGCAAAACTTTAAAAATGAATGTAAAATCTTCAGTATCTTTCATATCTCTCAATTTTTTTAATCTAAAATGAAGCCTTGAAATTGATGTCCCACCCAAAATATCAATGCTGCCATGTTTACCACAGCCTCCTATTAATCACGATTATGAATTTCTAACACTACACTGTTACTGTCGCTCTTATTTCTATTTTATTCAGTCATTTCTATGCAACTCTTTTTCACCATGTTTTTGTGTTGTTTCATGTTGCTTTTACTATTTCTCATTATTCTTTTTTGTATTTCATGTAAAGCCTTGTTATTGAAATGTGCTATAGCCTACCAATAAACTTTCATTGCCATTCAGCTCTTCATATACATTTTACAGAGAGCAGATAGCGTCAAGGTAGAGACGTGAGACGTCTGGATTTGTAACTGCAATGCTTGGTGATGCTCCCTAGCAGACAAAGAAAAGAGTGAGCACACATGTGAAATATAGAAACACTTTATTCCCAGAAGTTGTGGCAGTTGAGTTATGTCAGACAAATGAAAGGCCAATATAAAGAAACTTTAGTACAAGAGCTTACCCATTCACATTCTAGAAACCCTAGAACAGAAACACGATGATTGTTACTGTCCCACCAAGCAATGGACACTTGACAGCTCTGGTACACAGATGAGAGAATACAGTTTTGCTTGAGGGTGGCGGGCAACATGGATGTTTGATTTAGGACACCAAACGAAGGCGATTGGTAGAGTTTCATTCCTTTTCTTTAGGTACAAGAAAAGTGGTGAAAAACAAGGTGGGACACAGGAAACACGTCACCAAAGTACGACAAACATCTAGAATGCTGGGTGGATCTGAAGTGAGGGAAGATGCCTTGTTGCCCCAAAAATACTCTCCCACTGCAGAAAGAACAGGTTCCATTAGTTTTAAATGCGCCAGCACAACTTTACTCAGATGAATCAAATTATTTGATATCTCTGCAGATAGGTTGAGTGCTTGGTTGTAATATTTTTGGGATCTTTAAGATGCGAACAGAGCAACAAAACATCTCTTTTCTTTTCCTCTCACAGGGAAACGCCACAGGTGAGTCACCTCTTTTTGTTCATAAGAAAATACCAAAGTTGAAAACACTCTGTCAAGTGCAAAATTCAATACTTAACAAGTCACACACACCATCCCCACACTCAAACAGCCTCGTCATTCATCAGAAGTTGGATTTTTATTGTTCAAGTACACAGCAAGTCAGGAAGGTGCTAGAGGAACCAGAGGGAAGAACACAAATATTGCTTCTCCACAACGAGACTACTGTGCAATTGTAAACATGAAGAACCGATTCTTATCACACAAGTTTGATTATTTAGTGATGGAACTTTCTTTTAAGAAGCACAGCTGAAACTGACAAAACTAGTGGCGGGAACAGAGGGAGTTTGGGTGATCTTCCCAAAAAAACCACTGAACAGGAGAAATTTGTATTGCTATGGAAAAGGATCTGTTTTTATAAGTAGAAACAATTGTTTCCGATCGGAGAATCATACCTTAATCACTGTATCAATCAGCAGCCTTTATTCTAAAAACATATATACATACATACTGTACAGTACAGACACTCAAGCATACTCAACATCTGCCCTGAAAAACCTGGGCAAGGTCAGGATGGATGTATGGAAAAGCCATGCAGGGCAACAAATGCCGATTAAAATACTTTCCAAAAAATACTTTCCCACACAGTTTTTAGTACATGTTTTAAGTGCAACCCTTTCACGACAGGCTGCCCTGCAGAGGAGTGCAGTTCTGTGCTGGCACAACTTCACAGCAAAGTGCTCTGTGGAAGTGGTATCGCTGACATCCTGCCTACATCAGACCTAGACGAGTCGACCTCGCAGAAGGAGCGGAGGGAGATGATGGTGCTCTGGATGTCTGAGCGGAATCAAACACAGAATCAAAGACGTTAAAGTGGAGCGATAAAGGAAAACAGCGGGAGTGTTTGATCATGTCTTTGTGGTTCTTTTGGAGTTGGCATGGCTTGGAGTTCCAGGTCACAGGTACAGGGTCACAGGATCACAGGCGAGGGTTCATGTAGACAGGAGTCTTAAAGGGTTCAGAGGTCAGTGCCAAGGTGCACGCTGATGCTGGGAGAGCGCTGTTTGTGGTTTGGCATGGGACTCAAGTACCCCAACCCATCCTCCTGCAGGCTGCAGGAGTAGCGCCCCGCGTCAGAGGTGTTGTGGTTGCTGGAGGGAGGGGCATTGCCGCTGGCCACCTGCTCGAAGGAGCGGGAGAAGACGGCACTGGCGGTGCGTGTCAGGCTGGTGAGAGCTCCCGCTTTGGGCACTGATTGGCTGGATGTGAGCGTCAGTCGCTTGACAGACAGCTCTGTGTTCTCACTGGCAGCCCGGCCTGTTGTTAGAGGCCCCGCCTCCTTGTCCTTGCTGTTGCGCCCGCCGAGACGACACTTCTTCATGGCCTTGGCGCCCAGGTTCAACGTGGTGATGCTGTTGCTGATAGTGATGGTGGGTGGGGTCATGTCAGGCCCAACCCCACCTGGCCACACCCCTTCATCCACCTCCGAAATGTCCATCAGCTCATCCGGGGAACCCAGATCCACTGCGTCTGTGAGACCAAAAGACAGACGGACACAAAACAGGCAATAAAATGAAAACCAGGAACAAACAGTCAAAATTATAATTATCTCATCTATCATCCAGCCCCAAAGTTCCAATTGAATCATTATTCAGATTACTGTTTCAAATTATATATTCAGTATTTTGTATCAATGTATGGCTGGATAACAGTGGAGCTCTTTTACTGTCCAGCAGGTGGCGCCTTCACAACGTAACCTCAGCTATCAGTCACATCTCGCCAACCTAGACAAGACAATGTAAGATCCAGTCCAGCAAGTTACAATAACCAGAAGCACCTGAGGGAATCAGTGTTTCACTGTCAGAGGAAAGGACACTGTCTGGGAGCATCAGCTGGGGAAAGACCACAGAGGGAAAGTAAAAGAAGGTAAAACAGAGACACAAACAAGCGCACCTGAAACGATTTCCCCTTCACAAACTCTACAGACACACATAAACAGGTTTCCTGCTTTCTTCAGGGTGTGCAGCCACGCCCATCTGAATAGCCAACCACCCACATTATGCACAAATAAACTTTTCTGATTCGATCTATCTTGGTAACAGAACACCAGTAAACACTGATAGGCAGGTCCTATCATTTTCTTTTCATGGTCAGATTGAGCCTGTTCAGACCAGGAGTCACTGGATTCAAGTTTACATTTTATAATGTGACAAGCATTTGCTTCAAATAATTCAGGACCTGCATATCGCTCCTCGGTTTCTTGCTACCGGTCAGAAGGAAGTAATCTGTCTCCAGGTGCAACCCAGGAGTGATGTGTCGAGGCGTACCACAGTGTGCTCTAAGGGCCAAGTGATAACCCAGTAAAACCCAGGTGTCAGATCTGTTAACAGTGTTGTTAGATCATAGTCTCCTGGTGCTGCTAAAAACAGATACATGTATATGGGTTTTCTGATTCAATGTCATGAGGCCGTTCTGTTATCAGGGACCACAGCCGGTCGAATTTACTGCAAAATGTTCATAAACCTCCTTTTATACCCACTGTTTAAGTTTCTTGTTTAACTGATGTTCTGCTTTTAATTGTACCCTTAAAATGTAATTGTTATTATGCAATTCAGCCAAGTATATTTCATTATTATGCATTTTTATTAGGTTATTGATCCGTCATTCTGTTAGATGTTTAATAATTAGATTTTAGGGAATCTCAGCAGGAGATCTTTGTGAGGAAGTTATAGCCACAAAGGAGAGAGTAAATGAATGAATAACATTGAAAAGACAGATGAGAGGAATAGTGCAGTTAGGCGAAGAGAGGGTGACGGAGCCCAGTGCAAAAAAAGGTGAAGGGGCAAGTCATCATGCAGCTGTTCAGACAACGCCTGCACACACGTTACCTAGGTTACCCCAGGAGTGGGGCAGGGGGAAGGAGGGGCAGGACCTTAGTACTGACTCCTCCCTGTGGAGGCCGACCCAGAACCCTCATTCTCCACCAATCGCCTCACAGACTTCTGCCTCCTGACCTCCTGACCCCGTGTGCCGGAGTCGTGACCTCGGGGGTCCAGGCTGACCTCAGAGGTGGTGGTCATAATGTCGCCATCGGGCCCGGTGCGACCGTCAGGGCGCTGCCTTAGGGAGTCTCCGTTGGCCATTCTCTCGCCGCTCACGCCTGTCACACTGATCTCGGGGATGGCAACACCCCCAAGCGCAGCCTCACTGTCTACACTCACCTCCTGGGACTCTGGTGGTGGGGGAGTATGGATGGGTAATGGAAGAATACATAGATACAAATATAAACAAACACACACACAGTCGGACAGAAACACACAGTCGGACAGAAACACACATCATGCACACATACATGAAAAACAAAAAGACGGTCATGTGCACAGGCACACATGACCACAGTAACACAAGACACACAGAGGTAATTAATGTAATGACAGAAAAAATAAAAAGACAAAAATTATAGTGATCAGAACATAACATGGTCAAAATACATGCTACATGGAGATGAAAATGTAAACAGTATCTGAATGGAATTACACTTCCTACTAGGTCACCCCTACTTGAATAAATAATTAATAGTATTTTCCTTCATCATCTGCTCGTAACAAAAGCGTTATGCAGCTCTGATGGGGGCACTAAAGAACAGGATCCATGAGATGAAAAGGGGGAGTTTGGTTCAAGATAAAACCCACTCATTAAACAAGCAGGAAGCTCTAATTTACCTGCTTTATCTGCACTTTGGGAAAAACAGAGTGTGACGCTTAATTCTTAACATACAGACAGGCTCTTATTGTTTGCTCTTTAAAGTCAATGATGAGATTTCTTCTGTTCTAGTTATTTAAAGATTACATTTTCTTGGTCACAGAGCTCAACCTACACAAGATGTTCAATATAAAAGTGCAGCTCATCTGTTTAGTATAGTATTAATACACTACTTACTCTCTTCTTTTTTTATCTATCTGTGTTAAATCTGTCACATCCTTGTCCTTTTTTCACTTGTCCTCAAGCTGTGACCTCACCTGTCTATGTACTGCCTCAAACTTCTTCCCTAAGAGATCAGAAATCGTGGCTTTGAATGAGAGGGGTCCTAAAAACGTTGGCAGCACTGACTAGCAAGCTGAGGAAAGGCAAACTATGGACTGAAAGACAACAATTGAACACAATGACTTCATGCCGGTGAAATGATGTGATGAAATGAAGTGATCTAAACCTCTTGCTCTCTCCTTTGGCATGGATTTTTCTTCAGTCCAACAATTCTCTTCCTTTACCCGATTAAAATATGAAACTTTAAAAAGTGTTTGAAGAAAAAGTGAAATGTGTGTCTGAGCCCCTCTCATCTTCTAGTAAACTGAACTTCAAAAGATACGTCCCTACACCATCTCGCCTTGCTCCTTGTATATGTGTCTCACCGTGTCTCTTCCAGCGGTGTCCCCTAATAGAGAGAGAGGTGACAGCATTTCTGGAGATCCTGGAGGAGGTTGGTGTGATCTCCACCTGGATACTTCGTGCACCCTCCTTGTTGTTGCTCTTCACTGCAGCACTGTGCAGTGACGACTTGATGGCGTTGCCCACCTAAGAGCAAGGAGAAGAGCAGACAATGATAAAGGCGGCCAGTTATGCTAATTTCCATCTCAGTCATAAAAATCCTTCTTTATCTCAGACTGCCTGTTATGAAACCTCTCAGCTGAGACTGTGACTGAAGCAAGCAATATAAGCCCACTTTCTTCTGACTGGCTAAACATCTGAATCTTTGTCAAGGGCCAGAGCACCATTAGAAATGCACCCTTGATATAATGGTCTTTCAACATTTCACATCCTTATGTAAAAAAAAAAATCTATATATGCCCCTTTTAATAGTCATAGATATGAATAATGTAATAAAATGACAGCTGAAGTGGAAAACATCTGCTGTCAGGAAATACAAAAGTTAACGTTGCTTGTAAAATATTATTCTGGTGCTGCCAAATAAATGTATGGTAAACCAGTGGGTTTTTCTAAATGGGAACATATTCTGTGTTGGACCTTTTTCCATGCTTCACCAACATTTCAATACCATATACAGTATTTCATCTTGCTTAAACAAAAGTGTCTGTTCACAGTTTTGCCTGCTGGGCTCAAATTGTGGGGCACAACCTAACAGAGTTACACCGACTCGTGAGATAAGATCAACAAGAAGGCTTAGCTCTATATAACACTATTTCATAAATTGTGATAAGAACCTCAGCTCTCGCTGGACATTCTCAAGTGGCACCAATGATCATGTAACAATTGAGTGCGTAACATGAGGTAGACGGCATCATAATCACCAAACAACATGTCTTTTGTCTGTGCGGCTGTAACTCATGGTCTCAAGAGGGAAACGTCAGAGTTATGCTAAGCTCGCAGCCACCTGGTGCATTCCACTGCAAAAAAAACTCAAAACCACAGAAACACACTGGACAAAACTGATATTTGAACACTTCTGCACTATTCTATTTATAGTCATGGCATTTATCCAAAAATCTGTTTTATTTCATAGAATTTTTTTTTTTATGATTGTGAATCAAAAGATTGAGTATTTTTATGGTTGTGGAGGGGTACACCTTGACTTGTTTAGTAATACTGTGAGCTTAGGTTCAATCCTCTACTCCCTGGGCCTCAAGGATTACAGCTTAACAGAGCAGAGAGGAAAGCATGTAAATAATCTAGAGGGATTACACTCTGCGCGCAGTCTCCGACACACACACGCACGCACGCACACGCACACACACACACAAAACCACAGGCCAGCATGTGCATCTAAATCACATGCTCCTCTTATACACACTTATGTTTGATAGTAGCAGAACATTTTTACTTACCAGTAGAGCCTCAGGGAACAACTCTAGCTGGGCTCGATACAGAACGTCATCCAGTGCTTTAGATCCCAGTTCAACTTCCCCATTACAGCTACACATAGGCACAAACACACACAAGTAATATTGTTAGACACTGAGACAACAGGCACCAGTCAAAATGAAGAGTGTGCAGCCTCAACTACTGTTGCAATCTAACCTCTTTTGAACAGGTACATTGTATCACACAATAAGATACAATAAGAATAACAAACAAACAGTGCCACAGAGACAGGGCACAAAGACTTGAAGAAATGTAAGACATGAAACGTAAAAAATTGAACAGTGTTGGTTGTGCATGTAGCCGTGTGTGCACTCACAAAGCGTAGTGTATGCCTGTGATGAGCTGAACCAGGAACTCCGACGTGACTGTCAGCCGCGTGCTAATACCTTTGTAGCGCCGCATCTGTTGCCGTGGATAACCACATATACACACCCTGGAGGACAACCAGAAAAAAAAAAACAATAGAGAAGCTTGTATCAGTGAAACAGGGAAGCAAGGAAAAAACACTCCACCGAGGCACTTGGCTCCACCACCATTACAGCAATTTACTTCCCCCTGCGGCTGCAATGAATATAAAATTCAATAATGAGAAAATAATAGCTGATTATAAACAAGCGGGCGCAGAAACAAACAAACACACAGACATTAACTCAAGTTGGTATTATACAAGGTAAACAAAGAAGATACAACTAAAACTTAGATAGCACATGAACATGTGAAGCTACAGAAGCTGCTATATACTACATGTAGCTGATACACAGAAAACTGTTGAGGGGAAATCAAAATTTCTGACTTCTGTTTAGCTCTGTGCTTATCAGACCAATGCTCAGCTGCAGTTGGCAGATAACCAAAATCACAGATCTGGGGTGTGTATACATCCCAGCTCTTTGCAGAATAGCTGTATCTTGGCTCTCACTGGCAGCAAAGTCTATAAGAGGATCAGCAAGTGCTTGCAAAACTGTGAGAGAGAGAGTGGAGAGAGTGTGTGTGTGTGTGTGTGTGTACTGTCTTTAAAAACATCAGCAAACATAAAGTGACACAAAGGTCACAAACCATGGACTGAGATTGTGTTTGTGTGCAGATATTAAGTCCATGATAAGTCCAGGCCGTGTGTTTTACCTGGAGCTGAGCTGGCAGAGGGACTGCAGGGAGGTGGGGATCATGTAGCTGAGAGAAGCGTTGTAGCACAGCAACAGGAAGGTCAGCACCTCAAATCTAAACACAATCACACAATTAAAATCTGTCCACCAGTCATGCTGCCAACAATACTGTCGATATAAATACCCCCACCGCTCAAAAAATAACAAAGAGACTCAAATATTATCTCTGCATGATCTTAAAAACCAGCCAGACTTGTTTTCATCTCAAAAATGTTAGAGGTGAAAATAAAAGATACATCAGCTATTTTTAATCAGTCTAAAACAGAATAAAAAAATAGTATTGAAAAAAAAGTTAAACTCAAACCGCCACAGTTCAGCTGTAGTGCAGCCTCACTACATGAATTCAAGAAGGCCTAACAGCGATCTAACAACTACAAATGCAACAAAGCAAAGACAACTGCCACAGGCCATTACTGACGCAAACACATCATACGGCAAATGATTGGCTGAACTCACCATCACCATAAAAACCTACGATAGGATAGGAGTCACAGACTGTCATGAGACAAAACTTCAATCAACGACATTTACGGTGGTTATCTCTAAATTTAATTAATAAGGGATTTATGGCTCAATGTATATACTGATAACTGCAATAAAACAGCGTCTGGACTAAGAAGTATTACAAAGTCCTTTTGCTCAAGCTTTACAAATTGGCAGAAAACAAGCAGTTTGACAAGTATACTTGGGAAGAAGCTTTGTTTGTAAGATTTCTTTCTCTTCATGTTTTTCTATTTTAGTGGTTGGCTTGGTATTTGTAGCCAAATCTAAGTCAGTCTGCCTGTTTAGAGTGTTGCCAATCCATCCATTTCAAAACAAGCATTATCTTCTCCCTGCTGACACGTCACCACCTGCACTGAATACTTTACATAAGTGCGCTCATCATGCCTCTTACCTGTTCTGTGCTGTGAAGGTCTCCCTCTGCAGGTGTGGCCCGCTGTACACCACCTTGCTCAGCCCGTGATTGGCTAGAGCCCCTTCTGTAAGAGCAATGGAGCCAATGGCTGAAGGCTAGAGGTGGACAAAAAAAAGTGATTATGCTTAACAATTGTTGCAAAAGCTAATTAAAAGATCTGTGGGCATTTGTGTGTGTTGTTCACCTCGTGGTACACTGAGGGCTTGGAGAGGGAAGGGACCGTGAAAGACAACACTTTACTCTGTCCATCTTTATCTACTATTTCCTGTGAAAGAAAAAGAGGACGACAAAGAAAAATGTTTCAGTGAGCAAGAAAAAAAAGAAAATTCCATGTGCCCTGAACCTCTGAGGAGCATTATCTCTTCAAGCACACTCATTTGTTGTATGTAGCCATTTGTGTGTGGACCTCAGGGTCTGCGCTTCCCCACTCAGTCTGCTGGTGTGCATGTGTGTGCATGTGTGTGTTATTTGTGTGTTATTTGTGTGTGTGTGTGTGTGTGTGTGTGTGTGTGTGTGTGTGTGTGTGTGTGTGTGTGTGTGTGTGTAAAACACAAGCACAAAACCCCAGGGTTTTTGGTGTCCCCTGTGTGCATGTTAATGTCAAATAGATTAATGGGAGCCAGCCAGTGTGTTGACTGACAGCTGACCTATTCTGCTATTCAGAGAGGAAGTTAGAGGACACTGCACTTTGCTGATAGAACATCCATTGCTGAAATGGATGAAAATGGGACTAGACACACTTTAATAATTACTAGGGCTGTCATCTCTTTGTATAGGTTGCTTCTTGCAGATGTCCTAAAGCTTTCCGCAAAATGAATGTGTTTCAATTCAAACCCATATTTCCTTTCACTGTCCATATATAGCTGTGTAGCAAGGCAGAAAGAGCAGAATATAATCGTTTGGACACATGATGCAGATCACAAAAATAGCTTTGTGGTTTAGTCCCTGCTTCTGACACTGCATGATTACATTTGCTAATGATCATGGTTATTTCTAGTGTTTTTCTTTACTTAGCACTTATCACACTGAAAATGTTTTATTGATAATAACAAGAACGGCTGTCCTCTACTAGTAATAAATAAAAAGGATCAGCTCTGATCTGAATATTGTAAGATTGACACATGCAGACACACGCACTTTGTCCTCTCCCTTACCAGGTTATAAATGCCCAGCAGCAGGGCCTCGATGCAGCCGGAGGTGTGGGGGTCTCTGGCTGCGCTGACAGACAGGAGGCTCCACAGGAGCTCTGGCAGGAACTGTAGCGTGAAACGCTGCAGCTGCGGTTCACCACTCCGATAAAACTCAAACAACTGGTGACACACTGGCTCCAGCAACTGGGGAGGAAAGACAGCCCGAAATGGTAACATTGCATCAGTCTACAAAATTAAACAGGTTACAATTTCCACTACAATTGCAATACATTTTTATTTGACATTAATAGTGCCCTAAAAAATGTCAGGATGGAAAACAGTGTGTTGGACAGTCAGACAGATTTATAAATCAAAAAGGACAAAATGAACACAACTTAATCAGGGGTGTGTAAAATATACTTTAAAATATTGGTGAAAGGTTAGCTTATAATGTGTGTACATACATCGCTGTAGTTCTCTCTGATGACCTTGTAGAGAGCAGGAACAAGGGAACCTTTTTCTTTCAGAGAGGCAGCATAGGTGGACACAGCACTGTCTGGGAGGGTCTGAAACACACGAATAATTGAAAATTGATACAGTGAGTAGGACTGCTGGTAAATGCCACAAATAAACACAATGGAGAGTAAGCGATAGAGAAACACACAGTGTCTACTTTAAATGCAGGCAGAATGCTCCAAAATGACAGAGAACAATAATGTCTAAAGGAACTGCATTTAGAGCTCAGCTTCACTGCCAACAGATCGCTCATCATACAATCACAGGAAAATCGCCTTTATTATAACTACACTTCAGCAAGCCTGGTTTATCGGTGAGTGCTTATGTTTGAGTGGGAGTGTGTATTTTTCTGAGATACGAAGCATCAGTGAAGCAACTGTGAGTGTGGAAGACATTCTGCCAATGATTAGAAGCAGCACCAGAAATCCTACTTTTATACCGATCATGGGTACACATTTTATGCGCGCACACGCATACACACACACACACACAAATCAGTACCTTAAATTCTGACAGCCAGTCCTCCACTACTCCTTGGTCCATAGCCAACATGTTCCCTCATCTGAAGTGGAGTCACCTCTACCTGAGTAAGAAAAACAAGCGTGTGTTAAAACACAATTGACTTAATTATCGACACATTTTGCAATTTCACCCTCCCCTCTTGCACACAAGCATTTACAGCTTGAACCAGGCTTCTTCCGTGTTTGTTAGCTTTCCATTATTTGTGTCCTGATAAAAATATTTTATCAGAAAATCCCATGGCAGTGGTTAAATGTAACTGTATACGCTCCAGGCATCAAGTCAATACTCAAAGAAGCACATGTCTCTTCTTCCCCCTCACTCTCCTCCTGTTTCCCTCTCACAGACACACACCTCTGCAGCGAGTACCTAACCTATTCTCAACTCAGGCTGAAAAATCACCCACACAGAGACTCCTGGCTGGTTTCACTGATGAGAAAAAAAAACAAGACTGTGGCACAGCAGAATTTAGATGCTTGTTGAACAGGCTGTGCTGTTCCGACGTCTTAAAACAAAAAGACAGAAAGACATGCTCATACCTGCTTTAGCTCTAGTCACTTGGAAATGATTTCCTTCATCCTGGTTATTTCTGATGTCCCTTGCTCTCCATTCCCAGTACTGATGCTGTCTGCCTCCTCTCTTTCCTCTTCTACACACTCTACTGCAACACACTCTTCAAAGGATGCTCCGATGTTACTCTGTCTCCATATTCTCTGGTCAATTCATGTCACGACTGCAGGATTTGTTTAAGAGAGGGTACCAACTTGTTGATTGAAGAGTATGAAACCTATCATGAAACATTCTTTCATTCAATCACTACAATCTGGTGAGAGATAAAGAATAGAATAGCTTTGGTACATTTTGCTAAACAGTAACATACATTATGAAAATGATATGATATTATTATCTATCTAATTATCTAAACACCCAAAAAAACCAAACACAGACACACAAGCCTCTTCCCATCTTTCCTGCCGGGTAATCAGACTTTCACACATCCAAATGATTTATTTCACACAATTTCATTGCCTGGTCTCTCCACAGCAGCCAGGTGTCTATTTATGGACCGTACCAATGACAGGAATGATGAGGGGGGGGGGGGGGGGGGGGGGGGGCAGTGACTCATGAAATGGGTAAGGATTATAAAGCGGAGTAGCCGCCATTTAAAGAAATTAGTCCTTTGAGACGTTCTGTCGTACTGCTTTTTCATGCTCTTGAAGACAACAGGGAGGACAGCAACATCTAAAGCCAGCATGTGCATTTAAATGGGAGGTTCACTGAATAAAAAAACAATAAAGGCTGTGATTAGTTTGGATGAGTCAGTCTTGTAAGGGGATGGGTTCTCCTCCTACAGAATCACTTGTAACCCATCAGCTCTGCCCACGCTGGCGTCTGGGGCATGCCATCAATATCAGATCCCCGAGGACCAAATCAGCAGCCGACTGCCACGCTAACAATCCTACCCCCTGGATTGTACCATACAGTTATTTTTCACCAGGTACATATGAATTTACCTAATTGGAAGCCTTGTTCTAATAATTTAATTAGAAAGACAACGTGATTTGCTATGTAACCATCCACAGACAATTATCTATATTAAATTACTTACTGTGCATTTTATAACCACTATTAACCCCACAGAGCAGTGGGTGATGCACTTACATGCACGTGTGGCTGAAGCAATACACTGCTGCCACTGACGCACTGAGCAACAAGTGATGATAATACAGAAATGGAGCAATGTGCCAGAAATCTGATGAAGGTGATGGCCAGCAACATTGTAGGTGTGAGCAATGAAGGTGTAAAAATGTAAAAAAAACATCAGTTTTGCATTTGAATGATATAATCTGCAGATAATTTTTCAAAGAACAAGCGATGATTCTGTCTAAAAAATTTAAGAAAACAGAAAAAAGATTATAATAGCACATGAAGCCCTGTCTCTAAGATTTCTAGGCTCTATTGACAGACTGCAGACCGACACAAGCAACTGGAAATAAATTTGTTTCCCTGGTAGTATACGAAAGACCATTATTATGTTATTTGGCAGTTGTTTATCTGCTAACAAGTTAGCCAGTCTAACAGAAATCAATATAAGCCTGAAAGGGCACAAGCACAGCAGCTGGTGGGCTGCTTCTGTGCAGCTCAACCATATTAACAGAAGAAACACACACATACACATGAATAAACCAGTGTTAGGGATAAGTGGCTGAGCAGGCTCGACAGGCGCAAGTAACAAACCAGTGAGGTGATTAACAAGTTGATAAATAGAGGAGAGGGACAGGTAGGATGCATCAGAGAATGAACAAAGCAGAGATCAATGGTTCAATTATTAGAGGCTTGGATAAATGGAAAGATGCGGGATAAAAGGAATGTGTGACGACCCAAGGGATGAATAACTCGAGAGAGGTGAGATGAATGGGTCAATTAATGAGGATAGTTCATTTGTTTCTATCTGCTCTGACCCTGGCAACCTCCCAGGCTCTGAGAAACATGGACTATCAGTAACGATAGTGAAACACACGCCTCAGTGTGATCTGAACAAGTTGGGGAAGTGAGTCTAACCAATGTGTTTATGAGCCTAGCTGAGTTTTTCCAACAATCCAAAGTCAAACTTCTTGCCGAGGAGTGACGACAGAGGTGTCATGCATGTGTGTGTGTGTGTGTGTGTGTGTGT